CCCACCAACTTTGTCCACTTCTGTATTCGTTAATCTGGTATCCATTTCGATGCTTCTCTTTACAGCCCTTTTCGTCCTTTCCGATGGACCCGGACGATGCTCAGTTGTTTCCTAGCCGTGTTTCCTGAACTGCACGAGGATTCTGTTGACTCTGCGAAATTTGCTGCTGACTTATTCCACCATCTGCTTGACCAACTATCCTTCTTCTAATAAAATCTGACAATTCGAGAGAACCTTGAGTTCTAGGCATGTTGTAGCACAAGATAATTAGTGTGCGGACCATTTTCATTTATATAGTGCTCTGTGAACACAAATTAGTTATCATAAATCAGTTAAATGACGAAAAATTAGGTGTCTATTTACTTGTGACCACTCAGTGTATAAGTGATAAGTGTGGCCTTAAAATTGGATTAGTTGTGTATAGACACATCTTTTAGTGTGTTGAGTAAATTCTATTTTGTTTCGTTTACCTTGATTAATTTAATTAGAGTATTAATATTTTTACTACTTATTGCATGATTTTGTTCTTTAATTTTTTTTTTATGTACATAAAGTTTAGTTTTTGCTGTACTATTCAACTGTACTGTAACATCTTATGGCGATCTTTCTTAGATGTTAAACTAATCTAAAGTTACATGTCAGAACAATTTAATGGTATTCTGTTAGTAACAAGACATTGTTGGGGAGTATTGTGTAAAGTTTTTCATATGCTGCTGTCACACTTTCAAAGAGACAGGAAATCAGTAACATTGCGTGAAGCAAACTAGTTTTATGCATCTTGTAACTACATTATATTTCATTCTTTTTATATTGTTAGTTTCATTAACAATACTTGTTAAAATGTTTAATATATATCATTTTTCATTTATTTATTATAAATGTTTTTACTGTGAGTATTATTTTATGTTCTTAGCTTAGTATATGGACTTAGGTTAACCTAAATCTCCTAACCTGGCCGAACCTTGTGAGATATTATTAATACTATGACCCAAAATATCAATAACAGTGAGGCCATTCATTTTAATCACTATAAGTTTTGATTTTGTGACCTTGTATACACTAGTTCTGATCTATGTAGGTAGCTTGTTTTGGTCAGAAGTTATTGATATATGCATGTAAGTTTTTTTTAACTTTGAAAAAGTAAGGACTATTTTTATCCAGTCATTATTTTTGACACAGAATCCAATGCTACTTGGTTATTGCTCAAAGGAAGTAATAATGTAAGCAGCATTTGTATTTGAAGACATATTTAGATACCACTAAATAACTACATTTTTTTAAGTTTATAGACAAACATTATAGCTTAAAAGTATGAGAATATCACATCAATCAACTTGGATCGCTACAAAAATTTATTAAAAAATGTCAGTTTTTGCTAAAAGTTAATTTTAGTTTTTGCAAATAACAAAGAATAATGGATTATTTATACGATTAATTAGAGCTGTAATTCTTAATAATAGTTGTTAAAATCTTTTATATACATTGATTTAGAACCAGCAGCTTCTCAACATATTAATAGGATTTTTTGCTTTGTTTAGATGGTTTCTTATAATATTTGTATCTACAGCTCTACCCGGAAGCTGGGAAGAGGGATTTTTTGACAGAGATTCCTTTGATGAGATCATGCAGCCGTGGGCTCAGACTGTTGTGTGTGGACGAGCAAGACTTGGTGGCATACCTGTCGGCGTTATTGCTGTGGAAACTCGAACTGTAGATCTCGTCATTCCTGCTGATCCTGCCAATTTAGATTCTGAGACTAAGGTAGGTGCCACTTGATGTACAGGTAATTCACAGTTTAAATGATGCAATTTTACCTGTACAATAGTTCCCGATTCCAGTAAAACAAGAGGCTGAACTTACACTTTGTCCTGGGTACAAACCAAGTTCAGTACATCTTGTCATAAAACACTGATGAACTATATATAAACACTTTTTACAAAAGCATTTAGGTGTAATACTTTATCAAAATATTACATTTTTCTCTCTAACACTTCAATATTCATAGTAAAATAACTGAAAGAGTATCAAACAAATATTTATATCACCAAACATCTTATTATTTATTAACTTTTGCCCTTGTCACAAAAATGTATTCATATAATCTTAATTTTATAATGCTACTACATAATAACATTTTAAAGTCTTGTTTTCTGGTTTAAAATCATAAATACCAATTTTTATTCCAAACCATGTTAAACACCTTCAATATATTACCTAAAAAACAGAAATCTGAATTAAAATGGTAAAATAGTGGTTACAAAGAACTTTTGCAAATACTTTATCTGTTTAACTTTTAACTTCATTTATAACTAATCATTTATCTTTCAAGCTGTATTAACTTTCAGTTTGTTACTTAGAGAAAAAAAAAACACAGAAATATAAATTAAAACTGCTTTTACTCTTTCTATCCCCTTACACCCTATTCCTGCAAAAAAAAAAGAGTAGGTTTATTTGAAATTAGACAATTTTTCATTTTTGTTCCTTTATGTTTATTTTTTCTAAGTCTTTTTTTGTGATATGTTGTGTGAATGTTTCTTTTCATATCAGACCTTTATACTTTATCTTTTTTATGTTTTCTCAAGCAAACCATTATATCAGTGTCTATAAATTTTCTTAGTTAGTGTCTCAGGCAGGGCAAGTGTGGTTTCCAGATTCGGCCTACAAAACTGCTCAAGCAATCAAAGATTTCAATAGAGAAGAGCTACCACTTTTTATTTTTGCCAACTGGCGGGGATTTTCTGGGGGAATGAAAGGTATTATATTGATTAAATTGTATGATCTAAGTACTTTTATATTTAAATATTCCGTATCAAGTAATTTCTTTTTTGTTAAAACCTAGAAACCACTATTTCTGTTATATAAGAATCTGGGGTTTAGTTATATGATTGTGGAGAGAAATGAGTGAACAGAAAACATCAGTGCTGGGTTTTTGACTAAAAATTAAACAGTGACACTAACAGGTTTGTTTGTAAAATTCTGTTTCAGAACTGAAACATCTTGAATGACTAGCTGTATCTTAACTGTCTTTTCTTTTTAGAATCCAAGATTTCATTGAGCTATTATCTATAAAATATGGATGAGGAACTCCAAAAGACATTGTTAGTAACAGTCAGATCTGTGTTTTCATAACAAGGCATCTCATCATTGTATGACAGGTGTAAAACATCTTTTCTTTTAATGTATTCATATTCATTTGACATTGTGTGTAATTACATTAAGTTATCGGATATTTTTAACCCACCAAAACCTAACCTTTGAGGGAAGAATTGTCCCAATTTGAACAGTTTTTAGTAAGTTTTTCCACTTGAAGTTCAATTAAAAACTTTTCTTTTGAGGTTTGTAAAAGTTTGATTTGGACAGACTTTGTATAGAATTTTTAACAAGTATTTCTTTTGTTTGATTTTGATTATCACCAATAATCTAAAATACAACAACACCTGACTTACGGTCACAGATAATTTTCTGTTATTTCTCATTATTTGCCTTGCTCTTTCAAGTAGTATTGATGAGCCATGAATTCAGTGAAATTAGTCTTCTGATATATAAGAAGTGAGTCAAAAAATAGATTAGGTCTCTAACAAATCTTTTCTTCACTGAAACCTACATTTTGTGAGGAAAAGAAATTCACAAATAAGTATTTCGTATAAAAATGGTATAAGTTCGAATTCATTTTATTTTTTATAAAATCATGAACTTGACTATTTATTTTAGAATTTGTGTGGAGTTAGTGAATTATAAGAGGTTTTATTGTTACAGTTTACATGTGTGTTTTTATTTTAAAGAATATTTTAACTGTCAATCATAAATAAATAAATAATTTTTTCTTATTGCTAGATATGTATGACCAAGTAGTAAAGTTTGGTGCATATATCGTGGATGCTTTGCGAGACTACAACCAACCAATTCTGGTTTACCTCCCACCTCATGCAGAACTGCGAGGAGGTGCGTGGGTGGTCTTGGATGCTATGATTAATGAAACGCATATGGAGATGTTTGCTGACCCTGAGAGCAGGTAAGTTTTATTTTATTAATGCTAAAAAAAATTGATCAGACATATTTAAACAAAGAACATTTTATCTGAAAATTTCAATAAAACAATTTATTTTAAAATGTTTATTAAATAGTTCCTACTTGAAAATGTACATCAGAAGGCTGTTGAACACTTTGATATATATATACAAATCTCTTTAGCTATCAAAAACAGATTGTTGATAAATGTTTCAGTAGCTCAAACAGTAATGTGTCAAGCTTTGAAATGATAAAACTGAAATTATTTTCAGTATAAGGCAGAAAAAATTGTTTCATATCAAAGTCATTTATATGGTATTTTTGCATCTTTCTTCACAATTGATCACATAAATTCATGTAATACAAACTAAGTAACATTTTTATAGATTTAACTGTTAAAAATGATTCCAATTTTGTTAACAAAAATGGATTTCTTAATTCATGTATTTTCTCATGATTAAAGCTATATTCAGGTCTTCTGAATCCAATAAATATTTACATTATTTCACTTAATAGTTTTTTATGTATTGTGTTTTGTAAATAAAGTTATATTTATCATGTTACTTTATCACCACAATTATGAACTGTTGACTAGTGTGTGATATATTAATTAAAAGTCATGAAATTCAAACTTGTTGGTGTTTTGTCTGTCTTTTATTATTGTACAAATCATCAAGTGAATGCTTTTAGTGTGGTAGTTTGAGCTGGTAAATGTGCCTTACTAGCATGCATTAAAGGTTAACCCTTTAGCTTGGCCAGTAGAACACTCACCTGGCATGAAAACGTTTATCAGTGGTAAACTTTTATTTTAAACATTTCCTCAGGTTGAAGTTAAACCTAGATGAGTGTTAATTCAGCTGAGCAATAGGCTTAACCTACTCGTAAGGCACTTTTTAACAAATAAAACTACCATATTCTCCCCTTCTCACAAACAAAGCTTGTCCTCATGCGTTATCTCGGTTATGTGGGATGGCCATTAGTTGGGCACCAGTTTTTCTTGCATTAATTTAACTTATGGTCATTTCCTTGGCTCACTTTCAAATCCAAGACTTCTCACACACCAAATGAGTCCTCTACCAACTGAGCTAAGGGGTTAATTCACTAGTGCTTGCTAGTAAGACCCTTTTTAACAACTCAAACCATCAAATTATTAAAAATCTTAAAGGTAGAATTTCTATATTTTAAACTGTAAGTATAAATAAGCTTTGCCAAATACAAAATAATTATGCTTGTTCAGTGTATAAAATGTGTAAATTATAAAATAAATGCACTTTAGTTTAAACTTAAAAGCAATAGTTTACTTGGGACTATTTTTTTAGAGGTGGTGTTTTAGAACCAGAAGGAACTGTAGAAATAAAGTACCGGAAGAAAGATTTATTGAAAACAATGCATCGGACTGATGATATCTGTCAAAAAATAAAAGCTTGCCTCACATCACAAGAGCTTACAGAAGAAGAAAAGTCATCTTTAGAAAAACAGCTTAATCAAAGAGAACAGCAATTGTTCCCAGTATACCACCAAGTAGCTCTGACATTTGCAGATCTGCATGACACTCCTGTACGAATGCGTGAAAAAGGGGTTATTCAGGTAAGTGTTTTGTTACTTTAGTTTAGTGATGTCTCATAATCAAGCGTTGTCATAATTAAGTATTGTTTTTAGTCAGTATCCATACACAAACTAATTAAGTTAGGAGACTAAATGTTATCAAGCTGTTTGTTAATTTTTGTATAAGATGAATAAGAATAGTTTTCAAATTAAAATGATGGATATTCTTAGGAAATAATAATATTTATAGCTAAAATACCCAAATAAAGGTCAAACTATTGCATCTGTATTGTTTGAAAACAAAACATTTGAGAGATTAAAATTTCCACAAATAATGTCTCAGGCTTTACTGAGATTACAGAACAATGTTTGTGTAGTATATATATAGGTTGAGTACATCTTGCCATACTCTGTCTGATGACCAGGCATCTTGACAATAGCCCCACCATATATTTTCAATTTCAAAATGCTTTGCCCTAAAGCTGCCATGTCCAAAGTACACTGCCCCTCCCTGCAGGCTTTCCATAATCTGTGTAGTGTAGTTGGGTGACAGTTTCTCAGCATTCGTTTCAACAATCTGATCATACAAAAATTCATAGGTACAGCATCCAGTTACTTTACTGGTATATCTTTGTATGGAATAACATAAAAACCTGTTTCATTCTCTATCTGATTGAAAATATGCAATAGTTGAAGCAACTTGTACATGGGTGCACAAATGGCTTTTGCCACTGAACTATGTGTTCTTGGATTCTCATCCATTATAAGATGCTGCAAATGCTTACCACAACTGGGGTACATCTTGTTTCAGGTCTCTTCCTTGATGGTTATGGCTCCCCAGTTGGATCCATAATCCTTTGTTTTCCATTGTCATTAAGTAAAGTGGTATCCCCATCATGGAAATTCTACATCCACAATCTGAACACATTCTTCCTAAAAGCAGTCAGTTTTTGATGGCATCACACTACCTTCAAAGTGCTAATTAATGTCAAAATATAATTTTGATACATACCACTTCACCGTGGCTTTCAGACTAATATTTAGGAATTAACCTCTGTTCTAAATTAAACAATTCTGTAGGCACTTTTGCCTCACCCTTTATATCCTGTGATGGCTGTGTATTTAACACATCAATGTATATGTATAAAATTGTTAATAAAACACTTTTTTTGTGGATCTCTACTTGTGAGGTACCAGGTTAATAGAGTTAAAAAAGTTTTATATTACTGTTCTTATTGTTATATACGTTTAGTATGTTTAACTCTTTTCATCTAAGTATTCTGTTCACATACACACAACTAAATGTTCTTAGTATAATCTAGTTCACAATGTACCACAGTTTTTCTGTACTGTTATTGCTAAGTAACAATGAGCTCAAAACAAAAAAAATTTTCTCTCTCTCTGAATGAAAGCATGGAATTTTTATTTTATGTTAAGTGCAAAGCTACATAGTGAACTATCTGTACCCTACTCATGTGGATATTGAAACCCGATTTTTAGCATTATAAGCCCTTAGGCTTGCTGCTGATCCACCAAGGGGACAAACATGTAATTAGCAGCCTATAGCTATCAAGATTTCTTTTAAAGCAATCAAGCTCTTGTATTAATGGCCAAAAATAGGATAAACAAAGATTCATGTAGATTTAGTGAAGAAACAAAGGTAGAGATGGTAAATGGTTTATTTGTCACTACATTTAAAACATTAAAGCAGTAAAATGCATTTAATCAATAATCCATTACAACCATTAACTTAGAATGAATAATATCTTTAACATTAGTTTTGTACATCTTTGGGCTTGAGTGGTCATTTTTTTGTTAATTGATTTTAAAATGAAATTATTTTAAGTTTCATAAAAAACATAAAACATTCATTTGTATTGAAATGATTTCTTTATTAAACAGTAAGAATAGTAAATGGTTTTTTATTCACTGAAATAAATAATTGTACTCAGTTTAGTTATTTCTTTATTTTTAATCATTCATCAATGTTAATGGCAAACAGTGATGGTTTTAGGCTTGTAATTGTGTTTCTTAATTGCTTACATCCATTAGATTATTAATTCCAAAAGATTAATTTCATATTTTGTTGCTTGATTTAAGATATTTTTTAATGTTTTCAATTAATATAGGAAATTATTCCATGGGCTAAAGCACGATCTTTCTTCTACTGGCGTCTCAGACGACTACTGTTACAAGATAAAATGAAGAAAAAGCTGCTTCAAATTAAACCTCATTTGTCTTCCAGAGAATTAGATTTCATGCTTAACAGGTGGTTTATTGAAGACTTTGGTGTTGCTAGTGTAAGATGATTCTTATTATTTTTTATATTTATTATTATTATTTATAATTTATTTATTTCTGTGTTAACACTTTAAACTTAAGAGTGTTAAAAGTACACTTTCTGGCAACTTTTGTAGAGTCCCCACCTAATATGAGATCAGACCACTTTTTCCCAAGATAGTAGCCTTGACAGACATGAGATAGAGCCAGGTGTCATTTATATTCAGTTGTAAACCATTCATTAAGATTTATAGTCTGCAGTTGATTCACATTTGTCAGAGGAGTATTATTGTAACCAGTGTGTTGTTTCTGCTCCTCAGACCAATGTCAGTCAGTATATGCACAATGAATTGTTACATTATTGTCTTGGAAAAGTCCTTGTCTGTCAGGTTGAAAATGTATCATTGTGAGGTGAGCATAATGAACTGATGTGTTCAGGTATGTTATGGATGATATTCACTTATCTAAAAAAAATGATAAGACCACAAAAAAAAAACTTCAATAGATAACACTGTTTAAAAAATCCATGCAGATTGAAGTGCTTCATCTAGCTTTTTATACTTTTATTGTAATATTCTTACAGAATAGTCTGAACAACAATATCTCAGCCCATGACACATGCTTTCAAGCATTCATTGTTTATGGTTTGCACTGTAAAAAAAAAACACTGAAGCTGTGCTTTCCTCTTTGCATGTGAGATATGCAGTTTTTGTAATGCTCCTTCATAAGGTATAGTTGGAGATAATTATTTCCTTATCACTGTCAGAAAAATCAGTGGAGACATAGTGTGACACCTGTTGTGCTTTATAAACCTAAAAATCATCTTTTTTCCTTGGTCATATTACAGTGGCAACCACAATTTTTCATAGTGACAGATTCACCCCTTTTCATTTGAAACTGTTGATATGCTCTGATAGCAATTATTATTGATAACAATGCTCCAATTAAATAAGCACCCACTATCACTTTCCCTTGAAAGTCATATAGATCCTTACTTTTCTTTTACCCATTGTTTTACAGCTTAACTGTCTTAATACTAGAAATATTTGTGATGTTGTGGGGGGGGGGGGCTAATAAAGTTTTTAGTCACTGTACAAACTAATCTTTATATATATTTGTACAGGTATTTACAGTTTCAAATAATTGTATGATGAATGGTTGATCTCTTAAAAAAAAATTTTCTTTTATTATTGATCCACGTAAAAATACAATGCTTACTTTTTAGCAAATGTGCATAAAAACTAGGCATTAAAGTTTAACTTGGAACTGAAATAACTGTACCAGCTTAGCCGTGACTCTCAGTGTATTGGTGTGATGTTTGCATATTTGAACTATATTAAACCATTAATGTGTAATGGAATGACTAAATACTTTATGTTCACAATAGCAGTTGGATTTGTAAATTTCAGGTGTTTAGCTAAATGCAAGCTGCTGTGATAATTTTATATTTTGTACAAGGAATGTTTCTTTATTTAAATTTATAAGTATTAATGTCCTAATTTTGATATTTGTAATTCAACCAACATAGTCCAACCTGTGGGATGACAACCAAGCTGTGGCAAAGTGGCTGACCACTCAACTGGAAGACTCAAATGACCAGTCCAACAAAACAAATAGCTTTTATTATTTGAAGCAAGATCTACTTGTATCTCAAATCAAGAGGTTAGTTTTGTTTTCTAATTAAAATAATTTTCACAGTGTAATTTGTTTTAAATCACACTTACAACACACATGTACGAGTAATTATCCTAAATGCATTTTTTAATTTGTTAACAAGAATTATTTAATAAATTTACTTCTTGTATGAAGTGAGGTCTCTTTCTACAATTAAACGTGTGTTAGTAACATGAAATTACTAGTAACATCACCAACTACAACTGTTTTTTAATTGTTCAATGGAAAACTGTAAGCCTTACATGTTACATAAAGTGGATATAGAGTTTGAATTTCTTGGATGTTTTGTACAATACTTCAAATGTTTGGAAGTCTATAATTAATAGTTGAAATAATGGAACACTTATGTCACGTTTGTCACATTGTATAAAAATCCTGAATCTTCTAACTGAAACTTTAAGTGTAGTTTTTTTTTTCACTTTTTCTTCATAAAATTGGTATCAAAGCTTTTACTAAAAGTGTTGTCATCATTATCTGTGCTGACACTATGTCCCATATATCTAAGCTAAGAATGTAATTAATTTTTATGTTAACAACCTTCCACCATGAAATCCATAACTTTTTTTTTATTACAAGCTGTTAAGGTTGCGTGTTAGTCATCAACTGTATTTACCTATAGTATCATAGAGTCAATAGACTCTATTCTATATGTAGGGATGGCCAAGGTACTCAATAGGAATAATACAAATATGCACACTAAAAAATCAACAATGACAGAGAGTTTTACTTTAAAAAATGATATTACCGCTAACTTTCATCTGTTTCTCTACCCAACAAGCCAAAAAACAAGGCAAGAAACCAGTGCTAAGATACCAAACCAGAAAGTGACCAATCCACCAAACTGTTCATCTTTCATGTTGTTATTTCAGTTGAGATAACTCTACAACTACTTTATCACTAATGTCAGTTTAAACCTAAGTCCACTCTACGTGTTTCTGGGCAGTGCACAATGTCATTGCTTAGTTGTAATAACTGGTAGTAATTAAAACAAAATTCTAGTGTAAATGACATTATCATACCCCTTGAAATTAGCTTTATTACAGCTTAAGTACAGAGTGAAACAGGAATTACCAGCCAATAACAGATGACTGTAACATGTATAATACTCAATGCTTTGTACACTATACAGTCAGTGTCTTTAGGGATTCAACCCCTATATTATGTATGAAGTAAAGAAGTAAAAAAATTAATACACATAATATTAAATTTTATTATATATACATTCATAGAATACACTAACTTTCAGTCAGGAGAAAAACTTCACAAAACTAGTAATAAAAAAACATTTTGTAAATGCAAAATGATGTAGGAATGGTAGTGCCAAAAAGAATCCAAACAAGAATATAGAGATAATACAGCTATACATGAATCATCCTTACATGACTTTCAACATTAAAGTTTAATGTTACACTGTAAAATGCACAAGTTCAAAATGGTTACGAGGTTGGTCCAATTGATCGACCCTATAGTAAGAGGCTGTAATAATCAACACATGTTTTCCTTGTACGTAAGTCCTAGGCTCGTAGTTGTACTACATTGATGCCTACTCTGACATAACCATGATATTATGATAAACAAACTGCATGCCAACAGTCAGGAATATATAACTTCCAAATGCAGTAATATTAAAGTCATGTAGGGATGTGTCCAGCATGGCCAGATGGTTAAGGTGCTTGACTCGCAATCTGAGGGTCACAAGTTCAAATTCCCATCCCACCAAACATGCTTGCCCCATATCAGCCATGGGGGCATTATAATGTGACAGTCAATCCCACTATTCGTTGGTAAAAGAGTAGCCCAACAGTTGGTGGTGGGTGGTGATGACAAGCTGCCTTCCCTCTAGTCTTTCACTCCTAAGTTAGAAATGACTAGCACAGATAGCCCTTGTGTAGCTTTGCGTGAAATTCAAAACAAACAAACAATGTAGGAATGATCTATGTATAGCTGTATCCTCCCTATATTCTTGTTTGCATTCATTTTAGCACTGCCATCCCCCACATCATTTTACATTTACAAAATGTTTTTATAACTTGTTTAATTCATTTTGGCGAAGAGGTATTATACGATAATAATAATATTGATTAAACTAATTTTGTGTTACAAAAGGCCAGGCATTGCCTAATGGTTATTGTACTTGGACTATAAATCCTACTGTTCAATGTTCATATCCCATTGCCATGAAAAATGTGCTTCACACTGCTGGACGATGAATGTGCTATAAGAGTGTTAGTCAAATCCCACTATCCAATCAGACAAAAGTAGCCCAACAACTGGTAGTAGGTGTTGTTAATAAGCTGTTTTCCCTTTATTATTTCATAATTGGGAATGCCTATATACATTTGCTGAAACGTTCTAATAATAAAATTCAGTATAACTAAATAGAAGCACCATTTTGGCTGTTGCTACATTATGTGCTGCTAATGGCTAAAAAATCGCAGAATGTAAATGTGTTATATCGAACAGCTTAGGCTGTATGTTTGAGGTTTTTGGGAAGAGCATTCTTGTGTAATTCAACTTCTTCTGATACCCTCCCAAGCTATTTTAAAACATTTTTCTTCCATTTTTAATATCAAACCAGCTTTAGAATTGTGAAAATACTATAATTCTAAATTAATATAATATATTAATTTTATTACTTTATACTCTTGTTTGAAGCATTTGAGAATCATAAACATTTTATTATGTTTGTGTTTGCACTTATAATAAAGATGAACAAATAATTCCAAGAAAATTCATTTTATAGAAGAAAACATTTCTTAGTTCTCTAAATGTTGCTGCCACAAGATAACAGTGACAGGACATACAAATTGACTATTTCAATATTAGTTTCATATTTAAAAAATAATAATAACGTTATTTGTCATAAGCATTTATAGACACTCAATGATGGTAAAATATCCTATTAAGGTGGAAGCCTAAAAAAGGAGCATTTTTAGTTAGTAAAGTATAATCATTTTTCTAAATGCTATTGTCAGACATTTTATGAATGAAAATTTCGTATTACATTTAGTATCACTTTCTTTTCTGTCCAGTATGATAGTTTTTCTTTAACATTTTTGTTGATACTTTTACTTCCAGTGTTGTTCATGATCAGCCAGACATGGCTTCAGATCTTGCAAAAAGTCTTATCCATATGTTGAGCCCCCAGCAGCGAACAGAACTTCAGAAGATTATCAACTCCTTAGATTGTTCTATCTCGGTTCCAAAATCAACCAAAAGGTTCTCAACTCGGCGTAGCTCTATCCCTGTAGGGGTTCTAGAATTTCGAGAAACAGTACAAGAGCAACCTCACAATTCACGTGCCACATCAAACCCAAGACCTTCTGTCATAGAAGATTTAGAGTTTCGACCAAACAACAGTCGACGAGGGTCATGGATACCAGCTGACACATGTTAAATTGTTTTAATTAAGTTTATTTTTGTTTATTTTTCTCTCGTACAAGTGTACAATAATTGACTTTTTTTTCATTAGTTTTCATTTTTGGGGATATGGAAGTTTTACTTTTGCAATTTTTATTTTTAAATATTTCTTGCTGTATACATTATTCATATGCTTAATTAAAATTATTTTAACTTAAAATCAGTATTTAAATTAACATTTTGTGTAAAGTGAAGTTTCAAACAGTTACAAGAACATGTATCTCTCAATGATTTTTCCATTGAAAATAAACATATTATTTCAAAAGTCTTTACTCTAGATTATAACCTGCTGTAAAAGCATGAAGGTTTAAAGTATCTTCATGCATTTTGACCAAAAATAAACAAATCTCAAGTGATAGAAAATATTACTACAGAGTAACCATATGGCTATGCATGGACTGTGTTTCGATTTACTTAAATTAATTTTAACATTTTTAATAATAAATTTGCAGTGTAACTGTGACCAACAATGTCAACCTGCTCTTGAATTGTTTATGTAAACATCACAAACATATTAAAAGTGTTTTACACCAATCAAATTTTAAAGCATGATTTGGCACTTTAAGTATTCAATAGTAGGCCCAAGATAATTTATGAGTTGTATTTGATTTTGAAAGATGTCAATTTCATCTGATATAATCTTTAATTCTGAAACCATTTACAGGTTTGAAGTGTATGAGATCTATTTTTTAAGATATGTCACTAGGAAAAACATGTTGCTTAAAAAAAAGAAGCTGGTGACCTATGAGAGTACTTCAATGGGGTTATGCAATTACTAAAGTGTACTTAGGTTATATTGTATGGCTAGGCATGGCCTAGTGGTTAGTGTGCCGGACTACAGATTGAAAAGGTTCAAATTCATGCTGTAGTGACACTGTACTTACACTTAAAGCTGTGACGTTAAATTACATTATTCAGTTTGAAGCCCATGGGGTGGTGGGTGTTACTGGTTGGCTGCTTTCTCTCTGATCAGCAATTTAAGATTAGAAACAAGTATATCTTGTATGCCTTGCCAGAAGTTTAGCTCAGGTTGAAGATACCACTACCTGCTATTGTTGTTATAAATCTTGCTGGAAGAAAGCACTCCTGTAGAGTTGTAAGCCTTTTCTATAAAGTAGTATCATAAGTATGTTGTTTTTTTTGCTATTGAGACACCTAAAGCAACTCTTTCCAAATAAATGGTATCCACTATATTGGTAAAATTGTATAAATCAAACATCATTGTCCTGCCCCTATTTTCCAACTTGGCATAAGAAAAAGTTGAATGATATTACATGCTGCATGATAAATTCAACATGATTTTAACAATTTTTGTTCCCTACTGGCACAGCAGTATGTCTGTGGACTTACAATGCTAGAAATCGAGTTTCAACACCCATGATGGGCAGAGGACAGATAGCCCATTGTGATTAAGTATCAAACAACAGCTTTTTTTATTCAGACTAGTTTTGATATCAGTGGTGTGCAGAGCACAGATAGCCCATTGTGATTAACTATCAAACAACAGCTTTTTTTACTCAGATTAGTTTTGATATCAGTGGTGGGCAGAGGACAGATAGCCCATTGTGCTTAACTATCAAACAACAGCTTTTTTATTCAGATTAGTTTTGATATCAGTGGTGGGCAGAGGACAGATAGCCCATTGTGCTTAACTATCAAACAACAGCTTTTTTATCCAGAACTTTTATTATGAAAAGTTAATGAATGGTTATAAAAAAAGAGTATTAACCTGACTTCATCACTAAGGTAGTAGAATTTTTTCAATACCTCCTCTTCTCCAACATCCGAAACTTGTACCTATTTAATGGTTAATGACCTCATAAACATAGATGAAACTATAAGGATTTTCTGTGATGCTTTAACTGAACTATTTGTTCCAGTCCATCCCTTTATTATTTCATAATTGGGAATATCTATATAACATTTGCAATATGTGTGTATTTCTGTATCAGGTGTGGTCTAATACATAGCGTATTTTGGTGCGGATTACAAGGTCTAAGGGTGGAGATGTTATAGGCCACTGAACACACTCCAAACTTTCAGCAGAGAGGACGTAATACTCAGAGCAGTTTTTGTTTGATTGTAGTTAAGTTTATAGCTAAACAATGAGGCTATCTGTGCTGTGCTCCCCACAAGTATGAAAACCCGGTTTTAGCGTTATAAGCTGTCAGACTTACCGCTATGCCACGTGACGATACAGATCAATTAATCACACTGATTGATTAAGAATAACCCAAGCCTTATTATTATTATTAAAATGTGAATAGGCTGTGTTTATGGGAAAGTATTAATATGGCTGTATACAAAGTACAAAGTCGAAATTTCAATTTCTTTAATTGTTCTTTTGTTGTTGTATCTCATAATCTTCTGGCTCTTACATAGTCATCACAGCTGATGTGTGAGCTCCTAAACATGCTACATCATCAACAGTTCATGTGTTTTGTAGAAATAAGAATTGAACTTTGCCCCCATACCCCAAGATTTTGCTGAAATAATGACACTGGACGTAAGTTGAATTATTTACAATCATTTCGAATTTTATCTTAATCCTTCCTTCCCCCCCCCCCAAAAAAACGGTACGTTTACGTTTTTTGATTATTTTTGCAGCCTAATATGTACTATGATTACAACCACATTACTCCTCTGTACTGGTTT